CGCTATTCTTCAAGATTTGTCACTCAACAAGTACCCTAAACAAAGTAGTCAACCCCCCCCCCCTGCAAATATCCAAAATGATGCTGTATGGGAGAAAGCCATGGATATTTCCATGGGATGACTACTTCTGTTAAAAATTCAGTGAAAAAAAGGGAAAACAGCTATTGGGGGCAAATTCAAGTCTCGGATGTGTATTCGTGTTCTCATTCGTGACGAGTTTCATATCAGCCAATGAGAGCACGATATTATATCCGGGACTTGAATTTGCCCCCTCATTAGCTGCGTCCCAATTTTTAAACTCGATGCCTCCTCTAGTGTTATTTATAATCTCTATGGTACTTGCTGACGAATCGTGACGAATAGCGCTTACGCAAAAAGCAATGGAGATGGCTTTCTGTATAGTATTCTATTCCCTTAGGCATGGGCTTAGGAAGCAAGACCCCCCTCCCCAATATTTTATAAGGTGGGGGGGGGGGGCGCGATAGCTTCTCGACCACAAAAAATTATTGGATTTAAAAAAAAAATAATAAATTACTGCGAAATTCTCGAAACTGACGTATTTGAAACCGTATATCATATTAACTAGAAGTTACTATCGCAAGAGTGCTGCCTCGCTCCCAAGGAATCAAAGGCAGAATGTGCATCCCATTTGCTGAATAAGGGCACAGAATAGAGACTAACAGAGGCCGGATTTCTTGGTTTTTCCTATGATTTTGGCGTAACTGTAATAAGTCATCAAAATGCTGACGCCATGTAGCCAATCTCGTGCCCAGAGCAATGCCTGTGCGTGGGCTAGGATGGCATTAGCTCTGGGGAAATTGACAACCGGAACCCGTAAATTTAGGGGTTCCGGTTCTTTGTCGGCATGTAAGATTGATAAATGTTAAATCAATCACAGCACAGGAAAAATTCAATTTCCCCAGAGCCGATGCCATCCTAGCCCGCACACAGACATTGCTCTGGTACGAGATTGCCATGTAGCCAGTGCGCTTATGAGAGGCATCCACCCCCTGATAATATTCAAAATGGCAGACATCCAGGGGGGGATGCCTCTCATAAACACACTGGCTAGGATGATGGCATAGCAGCGGTTACGCCTTTTTGGCTGAGTTCACCTTCTCCGTGTCTTTATTCTGTAAGAAGGTACTGTTTATATCATCCCACTTTGGCAGTACGAGATAAGATGTGAGGCGGGATCATTTTCATGTATTGAAATAAGTCACAGTGCACAATTGCATGAGCGAAAACCTACATTTTTTTTAGAGAAAGACTATAGTTAACTGTAAACGAAAAGTTGTTCAAGCAGCAATAATAATTTTCTTGAATTAACTACAAGATCTTTTTACCAGTATCACTGAACTTTTGTTTAGCCTAGTGACTTATTTCAATACATCAAAATCATCCATCATGTAAATCTTCCATCATATAAACAGCCCCTAAAGGAGGTTTTCCAGTCCTTGCACGAAGCTCCTCGCAGCTCCCTGCGACTGCTTGCATCTAATTAAAATTAACTGTTTAGCATTGGGATTGGATGAAAGTTAATGCATCACTCGCAGCGAGCAGCTTCGTGCGAGGACTGGAAATCCGCCTTAAGACACCTGTTCAGGAGGTAGGAAATTAAAGTTCAGTATTTGAATATGAAACACCTTGCACAAAGTCGAAGGTAAGCTAAATATTCTAATTCTACTTTCTTGGCATGGGCGGTTTTATACTTCAATGCTTATAATTTCTGTCTTATTTATGTACAAATTATGTTCATAATTCCAAACAAAAGCAGATTCATACGCAGTTAGAGGTGTTAGAAGTGGCTTTAGCAAGTTGTGAAAGCAGCATGTACAAATTATGTTCAAAGTTCGTAATATGCTATAAACAATGGACATATCTCAGAGATATAAACAGACCTTGTACAAAAGTTGTAAATACAACCACAATGGGTTGCTAATTGCATAGGAATCTTATTAAGCCCGATTATTAAGACGTGCATACACATTAACATTCCGCGTTTGTTTTTAAAACGTGCTGAAAGCACATTGCTATAAACATCTAGAATGAATTACACTATAAACTCATCGCCTTGTCACATCGCCACACAAAAATGTATACTTTGACTGCTTGTATATTGTATAAAATAAGACAATCAGTGAGCTAGCTTTTTAATAAACTGCTGATAAATTCATGTGATCATACTATTTCAATACTTCTATATCGAACACCTCTGATCGAACACTAAACAGCAGATCTAAATATAAATGCCTTCATGTATATCACCAGAAAGAAATAAAGCCATCCTTACCTGAATTATTCAAAATATATTTGTCGATCGTAATCGTTTGCATCTGAATGATGATTCTGATTGTGAAAATTCACTGATACTCGCAACTGAAATCCGAAAGTTTAAAATTGTTCACCCCCCTCAAAATTTACAACCATCTTTTGAGTATGCTCCCCCCCCGAATAGTTTGCACAGACATCCTCCCAAAAATCAAGATTTTGACAGTACATAACCCGGGCGGAAGACTGGGGCGAGTGAATGCAGAGTGTCAAGGATAGGAGGCTGCCTTCGGCAGCAATAACGTATCTGCAATTAGCCTTTCTCACGCCGCCATTTTTGGGGTACGGTCTTTTCTGAAATCTGAGATTGTGTATTGTTATTTCAATAAAATATAACATCATTCAGTTTGCTTGTTTTTGTCATTGGATGTTTTTGGTCTATGCTGCTTGTTAAGGCAGCGGTATTTAGTTGCTCAAATAATTATCATCTAACACAGTCACAAACAAAAAATCAAAATTCAAATAATCGAATTGTTTTGATCAAGCGATCATTCCCTCATTTCCATCCCTCAAGAGTATAAAATTGTACTTTGAACTGGTTTTCAATACACAGACGCAGTATATATTGTCTATATTGAAATATTTTATACCGCGAGTTTTTGTTTGTCATAAGTATTTGCGCCTAAACGTTAGCTTAAAAGATTTATTTTATGGACTGATTCAGCAGGATAATGCAAATTATAAATACACTATAAAAGTTGTATCTTGTATTAAAAATTTCGACAAATCATCTCGTGTATATTTAATGACATGTTTACAAAAACCGAGATAAAAACAATACAAAAAGCACATTTAAAAACTTTCCTAGAAGAAAATTACACTCTTACTGTTATATTTCCAACAAAACAGCCGAAACCTACCTTGCTAAACAACAACTCCACGATAAATGCAAATAAAAAAACGCCTTGCGAAAACAGTTTCGAAAAACAACACGAGGTCGGCAGAGTAGTCAAAATCACGAACGAAAAATACCAAATTTTCCAAGTGGAAACGACTTATTTCAATCACCATCTAATCCAATCACTTTCCATTTAATTAAGCCATTTCACATTACGTCGAATCAATTCAAAACTAGTTGAATCACTTCACAACAACACGCGCCGAGACCGCACAAATTACGTCATTTCAAAATACATGAAATCACTTCACATCGCATCCAGTCGAATCACATTATGTTGAATCGTTACACATTTAGTTGAATCAATTCACATTAAGTTGAATCAATTCACATTATATAGAATCGTTTCACATTAAGTTGAATCAATTCACATTAAGTTGAATCGTTTCACATTATATTGAATCGTTTCACATTACGTTGAATCAATTCAAAACTAGTTGAATCACTTCACAACAACATGCGCCGAGACCGCACAAATTACGTCATTTCAAAATACATCAAATCACTTCACATCGCATCCAGTCGTTTCACATTAAGTTGAATCAATTCACATTTAGTTGAGTCAATTCACATTAAGTTGAATCAATTCACATTAAGTTGAATCGTATCACATTGTATTGAATCAATTCACATTATAGTGAATCAATTCACATTATATTAAATCAATTCACATTAAGTTGAATCAATTCGCATCAAGTTGAATCGTTTCATATTTAGTTGAATCAATTCACATTATATTGAATCAATTCACATTAAGTTGAATCAGTTCACATTTAGTTGAATCGTTTCACATTTAGTTGAATCATTTCAAAACACGGTAAATGGTTTCAAAATAGCATGAATCATTTCTTCATGACTTGTTAAATCATTGCAAAACACGTTGAGCCATTTCACATTGTCTACATGAATTAACACAACACTAATCGAATTAGAACACTGCGAGGTGAATCATTTCAAGTTTAGATGAATTATTTCACATCTTGTCCAGTCACGTTACTATACGTTATGTTCAATCATTTCTAAACACAATGAATCATTTGTGTTTATAATGAATCATTTCTGTTTATGTCCATTCATTTCACACGTGTAGTATTTTTGGTGGTAACGGCCGCCCATACTGAACATTAAGGTGTTGTATTTTTTGACCGGGGTTTGATCTTTTAAGTCTACAACTATGTGGTGATAACGCTCTGAGTGCTCGGGGTATACCGGTTTCCTTCAGGAGTACAACTGGACGTACCAATAGGAGATTTCAATTCTTTGCTAGAACCCAGTGAAGAACATTTAGAATTGATATAGATTGCCCATCCATTATAAAGAATGTTAGCTTGTATGAGGTTAGGGTTTTATGCTGTAGTATATCATTGTATTGATCACGGTCTACTTAATTGGCGCTTGCGATTCTGCAACTAGTCAAACTCTGCCATGACATTTTGCATGGAAATAGTCTCGCATCTTCGCCATTTGTCAGAGATTTCAGTTAAGCTTAAATTAACATATATATATATATATATATATATATATATATATATATATATATATATATATATATATATATATATATATATATATATATATATATATATAAACACTGTGTAGCGATGAAATAAAATTTTAAGATTGAAATTTGTTGTTTTGTATATATACAAATATCGAGTTTGGAATCATATATGAGTAGAGTTCGTTGATCTTCTCAAATAAGTTTTGTAGTTACAAAGTATGATATTACCCGAGGGGATTTTAATCTTACTTTTACCTTAAACGCTTATAGGGGTTCACTGAAACTGACGGTGACCGTCCCGACGTTGAAGATGTAGTGGTTGTGTTCACAGACGGTAGATCCAGTTACCCGGACAAAACTAATGAAAGCGCATGGAACCTGAAAAAAAAGGGAGTACACATCATTGCCATTGGTGTGGTAGAAAATCTGGAAAACGATGAAAAGAAGTCGAAAATAGAAGAAGAGCTGAAAAATATTGCATCTAGCCCTAAGGATGTGAAAATGATCGATTTTGCCAACCTTGAAACTCTTATCGGCGAGATCGCGTATAAAGTTTGTGAAAATAGTACTACTCCGACACCACGTAAGTGAATTTTTTAGTCTCATTTCCGATGAGATAATCATTTATTTAATTAATGTAGATATGCTAATAAATTATTCTAGGAATATGCATGGCTAGCTCGTAAATCATGATGTATTCTGTGGTATAATTTGCGTAAAACTAAATTCGTAATAAAACTGAATTCAATAGGGGTAATTCATTCGGTTTCTTGATAATTTATGTGATTTTGTCCAAATATAATTGTATATCAGTGCTTCCTAACTCGTGCATGGAAAACGTTTAGATTGATCTGTACCGTTTTATTTTTTGAAATTGATATAGTCTTGGGAACTTGAAAAAATACGTATTTATAAGTTGCTTATATACTGAACTCTTAATATCTAGCAATTTATTTATAATTTTGATGCGTATACGTTTTTTTTTTGCTAGACATGCATTAGGGCGACTTTGCCGCCTAAGTATATTTTGCTAGTGCATATCATCAAAATTCTTCGAATTCAATTACGCGTTTCATGCCATGCATTCAAACAACTAAAATATGAATGTGAACAATGTCATTAAGAGCTGATATATGTTAGTAGAGAGTGAGATACTGCAAAATACACAGTAACGTACATATTTTCAATATCTTCAGTCTTCACAGTGAGGATATCGATCACGTGACTTTTTCCAATTTGCTTTTGAGCGCGTGAAATTTCACAATTTTTTGCTTGAGACTATATAATAAACAGAACATTACACGGTGGCTTGAACATATGACTTTTATTTCTTGTGTTAAAAACAATATTTTACTCACTCGCTGCGCTCGTTCATAAAATATTGTTTTCACCACTCGAAGTTGAAAGTCATATCTTCGTGCCACGGTGCAATATCCTCCATATATGTAATATGGTATTTACCGGCTGCGATATAATGAAATTCCGATAAAATTGACATCGACGAAAATATTGCTAACCGAAATCATGCTACCCGTACCCGTACAGAGAGTCTCAGACTTTGTTTATCAACACGAGCTCGTTTTGCTACTTTCATACAAAATCAACTCAAAATATACAATAATTACTGTTACTGGACGAATATTCTCGGGAAATTTGAAGAAATGAAGCAGCTCCATTGTGAACGAAAGCGTACAGAGGTTAGTACCTTGAGGTACTTATACCCTACTTTTATAATTATATGAAAATTAAGGAACACTTTTAAATGTCAACTTTATCAAGAATGGTCCACCCCTTAATTCATATAATTATAAAAGTAACCTCCAATTTTATAACTAACCTCTGTACGGTTTCGTTCACAATGTAGCTGCTTCATTTCTTCAAATTTCCCGAGAATATTCGTCCAGTAACAGTCATTCTTGTATATTTTGAGTTGATTTTGTTTGAAAGTAGCAAAACGAGCTCGTATTGATAAACAAAGTCTGAGGCTCTCCACTCCTTCAAAATTGTAAATCCCGTTTCGCGGCGTTATAAAGCCATAATACTTCAAATTCTTCTTGTATGCTTCTATCTTTGTGAGTGTAAAACTGGCCCGGTCAGAAACGTAGCCAAGGCAAAAAACGCAAAAAACTACCATCTGTAATACAAATCTACACAAAAGTGGGACCCTTGAATCAGGTGGCGGCCGGTGAATTCCGGCTTCACTTTTGTATACTATAGATGCGTTATCCAGTCCACGTACAGTCTTAGTACAGATTAGTGAGTCAGACCATTTGATTTGTATTTTCAAAACAAATGTCACTAGCAAGCGTGACATACGGAAAGTACGCGCATCTGGTCCCGAATGTAGTGGCATATGAGTTATACAAGTGTTTTAGTTTCCAAAAAAAACACCATTGTCCATATAATACATTTAAATTATATTTCTCTTGCACTGATTGTAAAGTATAACCATTCCAATGAAAAATACTGTTTGGACCAGAATAACTTCTATTTAATTTTATACCGCATATACCTGATCCTGATAATTTAAACATATAGCTTTGGAAAATCATTTAAGTTTCAGAAATTCACCATGCTGGTCATATTCAGCAAATTTTCTCCCAGTAACATTTCATTAATTGCACTCTCCGGGAGTGCAATTAATGATTTTCGTAATGGCTGGGGGGAGCGGGAAATCAAAACAACAAAAATCCAATATGGCGGCGAAATTTGTCTTACAAACGTGGACGAATTTAACTACATTTTGGCACCAGAATGAGTTTAAAAAACATACTATGGCAAAAAGAGCGTGTGGAAAATACCTGGAAGTAGTTTTAAGAAATAATCTCGGCGGGATGCAATGCAGCGAAACGTGACTATGTAAGCGGTCTGTAATACTGAATTTATAAAGATTTTCTTCTACTCCAAAGTCCAAAATATGTTGTTTGAGTTTGAATCATGAGTTCTAGTTTAAGTTATGTTGCTTTTATGAGCTTTTGATCATTTCTCAAGTTTACTTGTGCCAAATTGCTTACAAAAGGATTGAAAACTCTTGGCAAAATGCAGTTGAATTTTAAAGAAAGCGATTTTTTCATGCATATAATAAATAAACTAGAAAATACATGCATGCAGCATGCAACCCCTCGCCTTGCTGACAAAACAATTGTATTTTCCAAACACGAAGTCATATCAGTCTAAAGTCACAGAGTAAAGATTGTGCTAAAGTAGTTGTCATGGTAACACGATAATTTTTTAAGAATATTCTTACAAATCGCCTACAAATATCATTTTTAATTACAAAATTATCAATTTCCCAACATATATATGTTAGGTATGTTATTCTACGTAATATAAGCTTCAATTTAAGGTGAAATTCAACCACAAACGCTTCGAAAACCTTTTAATGTGCTCCGTTTATAAAACTAAACTGCCTTTTAATAATTAAATGGCTCTATCGATAAAGTTTGAGTTTGCAATAAAATGATTTCAAATTCTCGCATGCAGATAACTTTGCTTTCTTTTTTATTTAAAAAATTCAATATAATAAAAAAGGGAATCAATATTAATAATACACTGAAATTATATGCTGTCTTGTTTAGTTGTTTCATATACGCAAAGTGCCATAGGCTGTCGAGTTTTAAAGCAATTACATTTATAAAATCAATATTTAAAACAACCTTACCTTCGTTAACGTCGGCTCCCTTCTTTTAGCCGATTCTTTCGCCCTTTCTTTCTAGAAAGCTTCTGAAATTTACAAAATCTTGCAAAAATGCGAGCAAAAATGAAATATATTTGCAAGAAATTTATCTGTTCAATCATCAAATCAAGAAATGTTTGCTATTTCGCTGTCGTCATGACTCAGGCAATCGTTATAATGCAAACTTTAAATTGCACCAATCAGTGTTCTCTACTCATGACAGACCGGCAATTTTTTTGAGATCAGTGAGGATGACTACCCACCCCAACATCGTTGGTCACCCACGCCCGCGATAATTGATGAACTTTAGACTTCGCTAATGCTTTCGTTTCCCCGGGTGTAAATAGCCGGGGGGAATTAGTACCTACGCACGGCGCTTCGCGCCGTCTGCTCGGGGATAATCACACGGGCAAGTCGTGTAATTAATATTAACACTACTCGTGATTTTTGAAAAATGTGCCAAATTGCTTTCGCCTCGGCGGCTCGTGCAATTTTGGCCCATTTTTCAAATATCACTCGTAGTGTTAATCATTAATTGCCCTCCTTTCCGTGTGATTACCTATACTAACTGTTTATTGTTGAAGTAATGTTTCAACGTGGCGTGCAAGTTACGAAGGAAGTAGAATAAATCATGTCCATGATTTCTGGCCATGACTCTCCACTTTATTTTATAGCCAAAAAGACAACAACACTCCCACCAAGCACAACGCTTGCTCCAAGCCCTGCGCTAATTACAACGGTTACACCAAGCCCAACGCTTCCTTTAACCACAACGTCACCAAGCACCACAATTCCTCGAAGCACAACGCTTACTCCAAGCACATCGGTTCCTCCGACTCCTCCAACAAATTGTTCAGGCAAAGACGTACTCTTTGTTGTAGACGGCACGGTGAACTCCCGGCAGTCCTATGATCTAGCGCAGGAAGATTTCGAGAATATTAAAGGATTTATTAAATCCGTTATTCGAGGCCTGAATGATACGTTTAGGGTTGGAGTCATGCAGTACACTGATAAGGATACAGCTAGAATGGAGATCGATTTTATGAGTCCCCTGGAATTCAGCGATACTGTAAAGGATATTACGATCACTCAGCAAAGAGGTTATAAAAGATATACTGGCGATGCCTTGGCGGAAGCTGCTAATAGGGTATGGTACTTGATAATATAGCTATCACATGCATCACTGATTTTATGTGTGAATGATTTCTTACCTGTGCTTCTTACAAAAAGTTCAAAAATTACACCTAAAGGCTACTATGGTAAAAAAGTTTTAGAGGTCGCGCGTTGGACTTAATTAATGTACATCAAATTATCTGGTACTTTGATCTTCTAAGTTTGCACCCTGTGAATTCAAATTGTGGTTTTTAAAACAACCCTCCTTCACTAGTGGTGCAGATATACAGCCATATACTAGCAGATCCCAAACAAGCCATGCATGCGTGCATAACGTTTTTATATTCATCTATACTAAGCAGGGACCGCAGAGCGATTGCATAATATGAAGTAAAATTGTGGTAAAACTGACAAACCTCCTCAGGAAATATGTCCTCAGAAATTTAAATGTTAAGAACGATAAACTCGCAAAGAGAATTCCCATGCAGCATTTGCCACTATAATTTTGTTTTTGATGATAATGTGCGTCGCCTCATGATAGGCAGATATATATTTCTAAACATACATGTATAATGTATAACGAACTCTTTCGCTCTTTTTCAGTTCTACGAACACGATTATCTCCAATACCGCGAGAACAACCCCGACGTAATCGTCCTGGTCACACGAGGCACGCCAAATGGCCGCGAGCAAGCCTTAAGCAAAGTAAAAATTTTGGAATCACGCAAAATTGATCTGGTTACAGTGGGTGTTCATTCAGGAGCATCCGCTCCTGGATATCTTAAAGATTTCTTACTTAATATGACTCAACCTCCTTTAATGTTCTTGTCAAATTACAAGGATCTCGAGAAAAATCGGGAACCAGTTCTTCAGGCGATACGTTTTCCGCTGCTATGTGCTCCAGCACGTAAGTGACGTCTCTAAAGGTGGAGTTACACGAGCAACAAAATTGCTGCAACTTGCAACAAAATCTGATTTCAACGCATGTTAAGTAGAAATTAATTTCGTCACATGTTGCCTTGTGATTTGTAATTTATGTGTAAACATTTTCAATTAACATGCGTTGAAATCAGATTTTGTTGCAAGTCAGTGCAGGAATTTGTTGCTCGTGTAACTCCAGCTAAAGAATTATTTTAGCTTTGTGAGTGAAAGCAAATATTTAACAGTTATTTATTGGAACTCCAGTTGTATATGTATAGGATAAACACCGAGAAGGAGGAATTCATGTCAGATAATGATCAATATCTGTCATAAATCACGACTTTCGACGTGTTTATCATATTTAATTCATGGTCCAGGAGGTTTTCCAACAACGTTCCGTCTATTTCGTCTGCTTTGAACGACTTAATGTATCTAAATTCTAATAACTCTACATACGGCAAATACATAAATTTAATGACATCGCGATAGTCAGAAAATATAATCTAGATCTACCGATTCATAAATAATATACCAAGTGATCCAATTCATATAATATTAACTTTTGTTGCCAGGAGGGTGCAATATAAATGAGAACTTTATTATAAGCTTCGATTCTATGCGTTAATTAATTACTTTCTGTCCAGTGTAAATTATAGTGAAAATCACGACACCATATTGAATTAGGAACTCGGTTTCGATATTTGGGTTCAGTTTGTCTAAAATTTCTAACAATGTAGAATTGACAGAGATATCAGTACAAAAGTTAGTTTTTTACAGAAAACAGGATCTAAATTCTACTTCCTAACGAAAACATTTATTTTTAACTACCATAGCAACGCCACCTCCAGTAATTTGCAACGGAAGCCGGCATGATATTTTCTTTGTCGTGGACGGATCCGCCAGCATCAACAGTCATAACTTTGATAAAGTTAAAAATTTCCTGTCGCACCTCATCACTCAACTAAGTGTAGAATCTTCAGCTATAAATACTGGACTTATGCAATTCAGCAAGGAAGATCTAACGACGGTGGAATGGGACCTGGGACGATATTCTGAGATTGAAACCAAAAATAATGCACTTAAGTTAAATTATCAAGCAGGAACGCGGACTGAGGCGGGAGATGCATTAACTCATGTCATTAATGAGGTAGGTTTGAATGAAGCTGTTTGTTAATTGATTAGGTTTGAAGTAGAGGGCTTAATTAATAAATTAATCAAACGGATTATTGATCGATTTACCAGCGCCGTCCGGGGTTTTTTTCCCAAATCACGAAAGTCAAAAGCTTTGTCTCCGTTTTAAAAGGGTTAATGGCAATGAAGTAGAGTTTGTTTAGATAGAAAGAACCAGTGGTGGCGCCAAGGAGGGGCTGGGGGGAGCTACAGCCCCCCTGTCGGGGAACCCTAGCCCCCCCGTCGGGGAAAATTAATAGATTTGTCGGGGAAAACTGAGAAATAAATTTGAAGGAATTCCGAAAAGCACGATCTTGTCGCCATTCTCGTTCTCCCGCATGTTATTACATTAATTACGTACCAGACATCAATACATAAATATAGCACGCTAAATGCCAACATTGATAATCAGCTCATATTCTAAATGTAGCTTTCGCATAGCATATATAAACGTACACTTGCGCATTTTATGTAAATAACGTATATACAGTAAAGATATCTTAGTCTATCTCGCTTGACGCACTCAAGAGGACATCGACGACTTTCTACGTGAAATAAGTGTTCTGCGAAAAATTTCTACGTGAACCGGCAATCATCTTCAATTTGGAAATCGGAAAGCAATATTCGCTTTAAAAACGTACAGTTTGTTATGAGGTTTTTCAAAACGACTACATCGGGAAACATACAAAATTTAAACACAAAGACCTGCACGCGCCTGATCGTCAGGCATCCGCAATCATTGAGTTGGATAAGTCTGATACTCGTCAGAGTAAAGCTGTATCGCCGCCACTCCCACAAACGTCTACGACCGCACCTACATATTTTTGCATGTTTGCAATTCTGATTTTAAACAGCCAATCCGGTTCTTAGCAACAATTACAATTAAACGTCGATTGGCTGTTTAAACTAGAATTGTAAACATGCAAACTGAATCGTAAACGTTTGTGGGAGTGGCGGCGATACGAATTTTTGATGCGTTTCCACAGTTCGATGAGTCCCGTAATATTGATGATTCGTACATTTTATAAAGAACGCATCATGCATGCTGGCTCAGTTGTATATTTTAAGTATATAAAATATGTTAGTATATATTGCACGCTTAACCATAAAAAAATTTGCATAGCCCCCCCCCCCCTCCCGTCGGGGAACATAGCCCCTCCGTCGGGAAATTTCTGGCGCCACCACCGGAAAGAACTGGCCATGTTACTAAAGGTTAAACTGTAAAATAAATTACCTTATAACTTCTCGTCATCATTTTTCACTTGAGATATTTTAGTTTGCCTATAATTACTCTAATATGCAAATGAATAAATCTAAGACGTATAGATTTAGTCACGCCAAAGTCGAAAAGCTAACTGTTCAAAATAGATGAAATCATGGATCCAAGTCTACATTGATAGTTCCCAGTGGCGGCGCCAAGGGGGACCAAGGGGGGCAAATGCCCCCCCC